GGTTTACGCTCTCACAACTCGGACAGGCCAGGCGAGGGGCTTTAGGTTTCTTTGTGCTCGGACTCGACGGCTACTCCTTACCAGCTCGTCCAGTCCTGCATGCCGTCTCACCTGCCACTCAGTAAAGCTCCATGTAACCTCGAAGACTGGTGTAGGGTTAGCCAAGTGTTTCGAACCTCCCCTGCAACAGACAGCAAGCGTGCTTGCTCACTTCCATCACTCGGGCTCTGTGCCCCGGTGTGTGTGTGTACCTCCCTCTCTCTACATTGGGAATAGCAGAGACCTGGCACTTGCGAACACCAACAAGAACAAACAAGCTAATCCCGGCAAAGACGCATACAGACGCTTTCTTGCCTAAACGCATGGAGGTGATGTTAGTTTTATTGATGTACAAAGGTATAAGGTGAGATCGGCTGATCTGCCTCGTCGCCGATCCTGCTTTCCCAGCCAGATGAGCTAAGACCGTTTACGAACCCGTCAACCCTTTTCAATAGACCTGGAAAGATCAGACTCCGAGCTGAGCACATGTCAATTCTCATATCATCGTGGGGGCCCTGCTCCCTGCCCCAAGACCTCCTACCTGGACCAAGACATGGAAGAATCTTAGGAAGTCGCTAAGCTCTATAACCCTATATCAGTAAAACCAAGATTTTCTCAACAAAAATGTGTTCAAGCATGCCTGCGCCTGGTTGATGCTGGCAGGCTTTTCTGCTTCTGCTTCCTTCCAAGCCACACCGGCCAACAAAGCTATGTTTGCTTGCAACAATGTGTTTATGCGTAGACATACATGTGTGTAGATATATATATATATATGTACACACATTCAAACGTGTCTGTGCGTGCATGTATGTGTGTGTGTGTGGGTGTGTGGGTGTGTATTTGCTCTACATATATATATATATATATGTATAAATAGATACAGATATAGACATAAATCCATATGTATACACAGGTATATAGATATATAGATATACAGATACATAGGTTTACAGATATATAGGTATAGAGAAATATACGTCTACATAGGTACATAAATCGATAGCTAGATAGATAGATAGATAGATAGATAGATAGATACAGACTTTTCCAATGTGTCTATACATGAATCCACACACATAGGGTGTACACGATTTCCTGGGGATGGACTTTAGCCTCATTCGTCAAGCCTTAGGCACCTTCGGCTGAGTCGTTTCGCTGCTTGGAGACCATCGCGTCAAGTACAAGGTTGGGAGGATTACGTATACTCCTGCACGTACTACCATGACATGGGGGGTCTCTCGGAGGGCTACTCTTCGTATCTTCAGGCTGCTCCTTCCCGGTCTGGCTTTCAGCTGCAAGGTCCGCGTCCGTGCTGGGCACGGGGATGCCATACTTGCTGTCCTCGTTCTTACTCTTGGCCCATGTTTAGAAGAGACATAAAGGCATGACGGTGACTACCTGACATGAAGTTACATAAAGTTCCAGCTTCGGCTCATCTTCTGACCGCATCTGACAATGCTTGCTGCAGACTTTCTCCCCTCGACAGAAGTGTAAATGACCCGGCTTTCGGTAGTTTCTGTCTCGATCACGCGATGCAATTCATCCGACAGGATTCTACAGTGCCAAGCCCGATCAGGCTGGAGCTCCGGAAAGAAAGCTAAGGAATCAGTCAAAGAACAAATACAGTAAATACTATTTCATGTCAGTTTGATACTGCACGACAGCCCCGGCCTCCCCAGACACCGGCGGTGCCGGTGTAACGCTCTCCGTCTCCTCGGCGACTTCCGTAGAGACCTCGACAGCTTCGCTGACCTGCACTGGTGCTGGAGACGCCTCTGCTTCTGCGTCCTCTGCTTCTGTCCGCTCTGTCGGTGCCGACTCTTCCGGCAAAGGAGTCGTAGTTTCGTCTGTCGGCCCGTCTGTCAGCGCGGGTGGCGGAGCTGGCGAGTCACTCTCAGAAGCTGTTGGCATGGCCGGTGGCATGGCTGGCGGCACGGCTGGAGGCATGGCTGGAGGCATAGCCGGCGGCATGGCCGGGGGCATCGCCGGGGGCTGCGGTGCCAGCGCAGGTGGTTGTGGAGGCTCCGGCGGTGAGGGCGGAGCTTGCCCTCGACACAAGCTAGAGATGCCGAGTATCACGGCGAGCCATGCCATGCCTGCGATGGAGACATGGCTGCGCATTGCTGACAATGTGACCACCCGGTCTGTTCAGCCAGCTCGAGTCCCGATCCTTGTTATGCTTGCATCTGCTGCTGTAAGTACCAGGCGTCATTTCAGTTTCATCAGAATCGTTGAGATTCGTCCTGAAATCTAATATCGGAAGCTTGACCCCGAGCCCGAAGATATCATCTTGACATGTCCCGGACGCTACAATTTGTCGGACATGTCGTGGACCTCATGTTTTCGGCTTTGCCTTCTACGCTTCGGGCCGCCATTCTTCCACCGCAAACCCTACAAGCGAACGAGCACACAAGGCTTGCTTGGGTTTGGGCTCTCGCAACCAGGGCTTTAAGGTGTAGTACGGGTTTCAGCACTCACAACTGGGACAAGCCTGGCGAGGTTCCAAGTTAGTACGGGTTTAGGATGTTTCAATCTCGGGTTGTTTTTTAGGGTGTAAGCAAACCTGCAGGAATCCGTTGGCTGCCCCAGAGTCGCGAACTCGGATTTCAAGCGCAATAAGCCACACATCAGTCGCAATGATGAAAGCGTGCGGGATCCAATCAAAGGTCGCTCTTATAGACGCGACGGAGCCCTTACATAGTTCATCTTCATGAGATTCTCCGTTCAAGGTACTGTACTGCGACGCCTATCTGGGGCTGGGCTTTGGAGTATAGGTAGTTGCGACCTCCTCTTTTTTCGCAGATCGAAAGACGAGAATCTCTGGGCCGTTAGGTGATCTCTAGGTTTGTCGGGAGAGCCATTGCTTAGTTCATGTTAGTACAAGCCCAGAGGATAAAGTCAAAATACGCGGCTTGGACATCATGGAACCATGACTGTTGCACAAAGGGGCTTGACCTCCGCCAAGTTGGACCTCTAATGACTGTCTGGAAATGATTGAGATGCTTGTAGAATCTGTGATTTATGGACTAGGGGACTGCGAAACGCAGCATTGTACCGTCACGTGCAAACATAGCACACGTGTGAGCTGATGATGACATGCACTCGATCAGCTTGCACATCACACGCGCCATCCCACAGCGCTACCTACCAAGCCATGCTTCCCTTCTTGAACCAGTATCCAGCCCCAGGTCTTCAGTGTGAAGACTGCATGAACCCTACGTACAACCATACCACTTTCCAACAACTGGGAACCTTTGAACCTCAGTAGTCCAGGAACTCGTTAATGGTCCGACCGGGCGACCGACGGAGCTTCTGGGGCCTAGGGCTTACTATGATTATGATTATGATTATTAATAGTAATATTTTTATTTTTTATTAGGGTCCAGGTAGGAGTCGGGCAAGCTCCAAGCTCCCGACAAAAGATCGCTTCAGCAACGTGTCCCTGTCGTTGCCTAGCTAGTATAGGGGCTTAATTATACCTCAATTATAACAAGGAACTCCAAAATAGTATAGGTAATTCTTTAGGCTCCTTCATTAGTCAGCTAGTCGCCTTGTGGCTTGGCATCGACCTCAGGACAGGCGCCCTAGTCTTGACTGGAAACCCCCCGTCGTTCATTCTTCCTCCACCCCTGGATCCGTGGCCTTTGCGACGTCACTCTGTGGCCTCCGATCGTCGCCATCACCTCTGCAAAGGAAAGTCCGTGATTAGATCATCAGAACCATTGCTTCTAACCGAGACTGCCGCATCTGAAGATAGACCCGCTGAAGACCGTGTCTTGTTGCTGCTGATGGTGGTGGTGATGCTCCGTTGATGCTACGCTGGCATTCTGGATGAGCTCATTCTTGGCCCGACTCCTCATTCGCATGCGGGCTTCAGTTTGCAACATGTGTGGCGAGTATCGCTCTCCCTGAGACGGATGGACTTTGAAAAGATGCACCCGGAAAGCACTACAATATGGACCCTCACATAATTAGAATGGGGTTTGGGGGTATATTTCGCTATAGTCATAGTAAGGACCCTAAGGACCAGTATTACCAATTATTCCGACCCCTTCATTTGATTACTTCGGTTGCGCCCGACCCCAGGACGCGAAGAAATGCACAGCACACTCGGGGCTTGTGAGTTGGAGGTTGATGTAGAGGCCTTAATAATTAGAATAGGTCTTTGGGGCCCATTATACCATAATTATAATTAGGAACGAACCCCCAAAATAGTATAGGTAAGAAAAAAGCCCCTGTATTATTCGTGTCTGACTTGACTTCTTTGCGAGCCCCTGGAGGCTGCAGGTGCACAGGATCTGGGCCCAGCAACCGAACGTCTGAGCCAGCAACTTGCCGGAAAGCCCCGTCATGGTTCACCGTCGCTCCTACTTATCATGATAACACCGTAGCGGCATGACATTAATGAATTCTGAAGCATGATATAACAACGACGGAAGTGTAGAAGCTGAAGAACTTGACTCGGCATGGATTTGTCATTATACATTGTGCTCGCTGAACAGACTCTGAGATTGGCCCCACCCCCCCTGCAATCTTATCCTAGCCTATTCCCATAGACCCGAAATCCTGCGACTTCAACCCTGAAGCTTCGTGCCTAATCCGGGAACTGAGACCCCAAAGCTTTTTCTCCCGCGAACATGGCTGCTAGGGCTTTCTGTGCGTCAAACATCTGCAGCTCCTGCGAGAAGGGCAGGGGAATATGGGTTCAGGCTTCCGGGGCTACGAAAAAAGAGCCGATTCTGGGAATCAATACGAAAACAAGCAGCAAGGGTCCGTTGGTCCGGGCTACTTCTACAGCCAAAGGATGGGTCGGCTCCAGCTACGACTGCAACCCTCCAGGTCCCAATACCCAATGAAGAACCCAATTAGTTAAATTCCGCATGTGGTTTGGCCCTCAGGGGCTCCCTAGTTGGTACCTTCCGGCCAAAGCGCACAATGCGGGAGAGCCGGGGCTACGGGCCAGGCTTAAGTGGGGTTTCCGAACTCTGACGGATGATGCTCATCTCCAGATATGGGGGGTGTTTCAAACCAGTCAGGTTGTTCAAGTTCGAGATAAGCAGAACGAAGACTACCAAAAGGATTATCCTTGGAGTTATTCACAACACATCGCCGGCTGGTGGTAGGTTAATGCTTGGTTGCGGATCTCGATGTTCTCCATTACTCGCAGATCACGGCCGCACTTCGAACCGCCCGGAGCTTCCCACAGATCTCCTGCTGTCTTTGCGGAGCTTCCTCCTCGAACCTCCAAGCTGAGGGAAGGCTCACAGGAGGAGTGTCAAGGATGCTGGGTTCCAGGCTTTCTTGTGCAAACGAAAAACGCTCGACCCCCTTACGTCTTTCGTCTCCGACCTTGGGATCCACATCTGCCAAAACCATGAACAGATTCCTTGTGAACCCTGGATCAGCTCAAGTTCGAAGAAGAGTACGGATATCGACCGGGTGGTGATGAACTCGTGTGGATCGGTTCACATGCCAAGCGTTTCCACTGATGGAAACTGTGCGATGCACAGGCTCAAGCTTGTCCTTTTGCCCTTATTTCTTTGTTCAATCACTATCGCTCGCATGGCTCGGAACAACACTACCGCAGAGACAGGCTAGACTCGCCTTCCTAAAGGCATGCTACATGGACTGACGCAGGCCTTCGTACTTGCCACTTTGGAATACTTTAGGGTGCACGCCGGAGTTTTGTGGCCGAGACCCCTTTCTGGATCCTCCTAAAACGTGCTCCGTCGACACCGCCGGCACCCTGCTGATGGACACATTGCTGACGAGTCACTCTTCTGCCGGACATGATAGCTTGAATATGGACGCGGTGCTCGATTTTCCTCACTCCTTCTCTTTTCTTTTCTTTCTGCAGGGCGTAGGGGTCGATCTCTCGACCCTCAGGCCATTGGCCCGCCCACCCTTGTCGCTCTCTCTCTCCCTCCGTCTCTCTCTTGCTCTCCCTTCTTTTTTTGTCTGAGCGAAACTCGCAATAGCTGGCTTTGATGTCTTTTTGTGGGAAACTGGAAAACAAAACAAGCAACAACTCCAGCGAGTAATCAATGTGTCCAAAAATCTCCCACAATCCCTGAAAAGGCCTATGAACCGCTGCATGAATCGCAACCATAGACACCGTAGCTCCACAAGCGCAGAAGCCACAATGCTCCGAGATTCATGAACTGCGAACGTGTTTCTTCTAATCTTCATTCCCGAAGCCACAAAACCGCAGCACTAGCTTCATGGTGACCAGGGCTGGCTAGTTGATACTGCAGCTCAATTTTTTGGGTTGCGGTTGCAGGTTCGATTCGCTCCTCATTACTTCCGGGACGAGGCCCCATATTAAAGTCCAGGTGGCTCAACTTCCAGGCGCACCCGTGGGAACAGCGACGCCAGTGTGACCAGTGTGGCAAGCAACGCGATATGTGTGGAGTAATGAACCTGTCGGATGTGCTCGCTGAAGTCCTAGGAAGTGGGCTTTGGGCAACCGTATTTTGATTAATGAGGGAGGCAGAGGATCAGGACAAGGTACGTGTAGTTAAGGGGCAGGGGACATTCTGAGCAGAGTTCGACTTAGCACAACTCTTACCTTGTGTCACACGTCCCATACCGGAAACACAAGTCGGCTCTGAACGTGGTAAAGGGGAGGAAAGAGCGAGGTGTGCAAAGAATCCCATGCAGAAGCATCCTGCAAGACAACTTGCAGCCACGCTGCCTACCAACTCCCCACAAACTGGACACAACCGCAGGATGATTGCGAGACTATGCCAAGGCCTGTCTGCAGACTTCTGGTACAAACTCGAAATCAAGAACGGCGACGCCTGCAGCCGAATCCAGCCCTCGCACTCTGATCGTGCAGAGCGCGTGGCCGGACAGCGGGTCAGAAGCAGCCGGCCGACGTGCCTGCAATCAGAATCCCAAAGGTCCAGCATGCAAAACGCATCCAAACCTAGGATGCTACGGTATAGAAGTCTGAAGGTTCCCAGACAAGACTGTCTTCTGCAACAACCCTCACAGGCATCGCAGCTGTATCGGCTTCGGGGAGTAGAACGTATATATGAATATATATATATATATATAGGGAGAGAGAGAGAGATTACACAGACACACAGCGATTGAATGATTCATCAAACAATCAATGAATGGATGAATCAATTAACGCAAATACTCAACAAATCATTGCCTGAACTTATCAGACTTATCAGTTAATGAACTGGCTGAAGATATCATAGCTGTCTTCATAATTAGAATAGAGCCTTCGTGTACATTCTAGTGTAGCTAAAACCAGGGAACCGTAAGGCATACAGTAGTAATTTCCAAAGCTCCTACACTGCACTAGCCTGAGGGCTCGCAGCTCTGCGGCCGCTGTTCGCGGCACGTCGCCTCTTGGCAGCAGAGATGGTGCAAGGTTTAGCGTTTAGGGCTTTAGGGTTTTGGGGTTTAGGGTGATAGTCTGGGGTTTTTGAGGCTCAGGCTCGGACGCATCCAGGCAAGGTAGGGTGTAGGGTTGCTGTGGCAGTTTGGGGTTTTGGGGTTGAAGGTTTGGTGGAGTTTCGGCTTGACGGTTTAGGTTTTAAGGTCTACAGGAAGTCCTTGATAGTTCGATTGCTGCAAGTTTACCAAGCGGAACTCGAGAGCTTACAGGGCTTACTTGGGGTTGGGGCTTAGGGCTTTATAGCTTTAACTTTGGGACCAGGGCTTCCAGGTTGCGGGTGCGGACAAGAAAAGCCTGATTACCTTCAGACGCGAACTCATCCGGATGACGCTCGCGATTAGAGGTTCGGAGTTGTACTTCTCAAGGCCGTAAGCCCGAAAGAAACAAAAGATACAAAAACGACGCACCAAGCTGCCCAGAAAGGAGCCCGAGGATTCAACGATGAAAAGACTAAGAGCCGTGCTTGTTGATCGAAGATCTGGCTCCCCTGTTGTAGATCCAGGAGGCCCTACGCCCTACAACTCAAAAACCTTTCGAAACCTGTTAGGGCTCTGCTTGTGGCTGCTGCCACCGTCTACATCCTGACAAACTCAAAGAAAGGCTACTGTTGGATGCCCTCTACAGTTCATGCTTCATGGAGAACCTAGCTACCGATCCGCCTGCGCAAAAACAACCACTCAAAATCTGAATATATGCGTAGCTATCTATAACTGCCCCGACAGTCTCAACCTTGGCGAGAGCCATGCAGAGAACATATTATCCCTACACCTGAACCAGAAAATGCCGATCAGGGTGCTGGGTAAGCGTGCCCCAGTGAGTCGCGGAGTTGGTGCGAAAATTCTTCCTGCGAAGGTAGTTTGGAGTGTTACGTAGCGTTAGGGTTTAGAATACAGGGCAACGAATTTATCACCCCAGACCCGGCTCCAGTACTGGAGAGGCAGTTCGGTTTGCTGGGAGTGGTGTGGAGGCTCAGAACGTTTAGTTCGACAGTTGACGACTTCGGAAATCCTGTGGCAGTACGGAATGTACCCTGTGTGGTCCGCACCCTCATCATCCTGATCACCTGGCACGAGGTTAGGTTTACCATCCTCGTTATCCGCAGCTTGGCAAGGAAGATGATGACGATGACGAGAACGTTAACCTTCCCATTCATACACACCACCCGTACTACACCCGACATCAAGATACAATGGCAGCAAGAAACTACGAATGGACAACTGCTGTAGATTGCCTGTGGCCGCAACCGTATCCTGCAAGCCACTATAAGTTGCCCGGGTCCTGGCTCCATGAAGATTTCCTTTCGACGCCAGACGCAGTAACAAACGACGGCATCATCTTTCTCTTGCCACCTGTGCTGGCAGCTGCCGGATTGAAAGCTCGAGGGCTACCGGATGGTACAAGTTGTGATGGAACTAGCCCAGCCCTTTTTTCCAACAGCCCACTCTCGTCAAACCCGCCCTCCCCTCGCTTAAGCCCTAAGCCCTAGCTGTAAACCCGAACACAGTCTGCAATCGCTGCTGCGAGGTTCCCACTCCTCTGCTCTAAGGAGTTGGGGTCTTGCCTCGGCCTATACGTGAATATGGCGGGTCTGAGCAGGAGTTGGAGCGCAAGGCACCCGACACCCACAAGCTCCTAAAGCCTATATTTGGGGGTTTCTGGGGGGGTTGAGATTCTCATAACATAGGGGCCTTAATGATTAGAATAGGGCTTTGGGGCCCAGTATACTATAATCATAATAAGGAACCCCCAAAATGGTATTCAGGCTTCTTTAGTACTTGGGAGTGTACTTGGGAGTCGAGACAAGCAGGGACCGAACCTCTCAGTGCCAATTTGGAGAGTCAAGCACCGGACAAAAACCCTAATTGCCACGGGGAATATGATATTGCAGCAATTTAGGAGCTAACCAGCCGGGCTGAAGTGCTTCTCAATCGGCTAAGCCCGGAAACAAGCTGGAACCCTCCCATCCTCAGAGTCACCCTCAAACAGCACAAAGAAACCCTCCAACTGGCCTGCTTTTGCGAAGCTTCTCGACACACCGTGGGCGAGCCACCCCGAGCCTGTGAAGGCTCAGGGTCTGTGGGTGATTTAATGTTTGCCACTTAGAATCGCTGGTCGTGTGTGGCAGGCTTCGGGGTGAATCATGCGGGGTTCGGGCCCGAAACTGCTGTGTAGGTTCTAACGGGACCTTCTTCAGGTGTTTAGGGTCATGCGGCCCTTTGCTTAAGCGACTTTGCCGCGTCGGGTGAGGTTTGCTCGGCCAGTGTCCCTATAGGACTTGTGTCTGAAGATGAGCCTGAGGTGAATGTCGTGGAACTAAGCTTGACACCTCTTTTGGAGCGTAGGCGAGCGGATGATCCTGGATCCCGTGCCATTAGTGTGAGGTTCGGAGGCGTGTGCCGCCCGGGCTTCTTCAGCAAGAAAAAGTACCTGACATGTTCGGCGCATTTCATGCCGCTGACTGTCGTCGGACATGTGAAAATTTTGGATTCTGGTATGGTTATTGCATTGCAAATGGCTTTGCCCCCGCTGCTGCTGTGCGGCATAAAGAACATGTGCAAATCGCACATGAAACCTAATCTGCAAAATCCGGAGAAACTGCGGCACATATCTTGTTGCTTCTGCGTCCTTGGAACATTCTCAACAAGCGCAGCAAATCGCAGCAACCTGTAAGTTTCAGACCCTTGCTGCGATAGCTTTTCCATGTGTGTGTGGCCAGCTACTGCATGTATCTAAAAGTTGGGTGCCGGCCATGCTCTTGGGCAAAAATCTCCGCCATTAGATACTCAAAATAGTCTAGCAAATCTGATTATACATTTCCCCGACCCCGAAACTCCCACATCTCGACATAGAAGTCTTGGATGTTAACCGCTCCGACATGAAATCCCATCCCAGGCCCACCTTCGCAACGCCAGGCGCAGCGTCTCCGCGCCAGGAAAAGAAGGCCTGTTCGAGCTATGGAAAATGCAGGGACGGGCTGCTGAAAAGTAGGTTCACTTAGAGCGGCGTTTAGAACCAAGATCAAGCGAGCCCCATGAATCCAAAACGCCTAGACCTAAACGCAACACATGACGCCAGATAGAACTACATCAGTTGCTGCTCGAGTTTCGGCAGTGAGGGCCAGGGTGAACAAGTTTCAGTTCCCTGCGCCTCCGGCAATCCTCGTCTGAACCCTCGTGCTCAGCTATCTGGCCTGTTGAAACCGGCTAACAGAATATGTGCCTCAATACGAGTATACCTGATAAGACATTGTCGTTCGGCTGCATGTTTGCGAATGCTTCCGTTGGGTAGATTCCCTAGATCAGACAAAGCCTATACATCCTAACATGTGTCTTCAAACCTGAAACCCCACTGCCACCATCACATCAAGACCAAGGCACGGCCGCAGAAACATACGATGAGCAGCACCAAGACCTCAGTTTCTTGGCACTCGCTTAGCAGACCTAAGTCTAGGGCTGGGGACGGAATTTTTCAAACGTCCGAGTGAGGGCAGGGCGAAGGGCCCCAACTCGAGACCCTAAGAGCCAATTTTTGAAATCAAGAACCATACCAAGCTGCAGATGTCTATTGCAGGACTTTCGGTCTCTGCTGAGGGTATGAGCGCGTGCTGAATATGTCAATGCATTCATCACCTTGGGATCCTGCACTGTGACTTCTTCAAACAGGGGACATGTTTCGTGCCTCAAAAACTTCACCACCGACAGCTGCAGCACAACCCAGCAACCGGAAGAATTCCCTTCAACCTTTGCTCGTTCTTTGCAAAACCTGTCTATGACCCTTAACATCTCTCAACCACATGGCGGTATCTCAACCCCAGACCCTACTATCAAACTTTCAACCCGATACAGCTTCCTGGTGGCTGATGAAGGGTGATTCCAGGTCCGGTAGTCGTGTCGGTGGGCGAAAGCCTCTCAACATGTAGGCTTGCAGCTACGAGCCCTCTTTTCTTGAGGTTTGGGGCTTTAGGATGTGCTAGATATTCTCGGGAAATACGGAAACAGTTCATAGTCAGAGAGTCCTGTAGCATCTCGAAGGATTTCGGCTCAGTGCTACTTACGGCTTGCGTTTTGAGGGTCGGGGTGTAGCGGTGTTGGGTTCATACTGCAGCAGGACTATGAAGCATAAACTGTTGTTCCAAGAATGACCAGGCAGTCTTAACAGGGAGAAACATCAAGCAAATCTGGCATCACAGAACCTAGACTGGTGGATTGACAGCTTCCTGGTCTCAGGTCTTGAGACTTTATTTTTCGTTGCTTACCTCGGCTGAGAACTTCCAGGTTCGCAGACTTACCGGGCAAAAGCTTCAATGTTCTGTCTCTTGGATTTCAAACCTTCAGAACAGACTGCACCTGCGTATTGTCTAACACTTGTGTATGTACATATATAATTACATAGATGAATGGCAAAAGATGTATACATACATATTTTTATAAATACCATATACTGTGTATATGTCTACATACGTATGTATGTATGTATGTATGTATGTATGTATGTATGTATGTAGGTATGAATGCTTATATATATATACATATATATATATATACACGTAGAGGTGTGTGTGTGGCACTGGGCACGCAACCTTGCTCTGCTTTAGTTCCCGTAGAACCCGTTGATAACCGGTGTTCTGACAGGATGCAAGTACCCCGTCTTTAACCCCAAAGCGTAGAACAAATTGGACAAAAACCATTCATGACGGCTTAGATTAGCTGCAGGTTTCTCCTGTTGCTCTGAACCCTACAGCCCTAAGCCCCAGACTAGCTGTTCGAGTTGGCAATGTGGCTGAATAGCTCGAGAGGTGCTCGAAGGGGTGCAGCGGGGACAGCGCAGGCAAATCCCGAAGAACAACCAACATTGCCTCCCGACTGACGATGTCAAACGCGGCAGCCATAACGACGGACGCTCGCAGTACAAAGCCCGGAATACCACCCTCAACGGCCTAATCTAGAATAAGGCTTTGGGGCCCATTATACTCTAGCTATGATAAGGAGCCCCCCCAAAATAATGTAGGTAATTATTGAGGCCCCGACATTAAGCCCTCTGTTGAATCTTTCGACCCTCTGGCGAAGTGACCTGGCAGCTTTGCCACTGCCAAGCGAGCCAAGCCAGCGGCATCCTGCGGTCAATGAATGCCCGCAAACCGGCAGGGTTAACGGGTTGTGAAGGTTTAGGGTTTAGGGGTTTAGGGTTGTGTGGTTTGGATTTAGGGGCTGAAAGTTTAGTAGGGGACCGGGCTTAGGGAATCGGGCGATGAGTATTCCACCCAAATCCTCGAGGATTCAGTGCTTCAAGCTTCTGGTTCTGAAGTGTCCTCCCGAGTGCAGCAACAAAAGCTATGCCGAATTAAGTTCAGGACGGATCAATTTCCCACAAGCTCCCTTCAAAACAGTTTGGTAGTGCACTCTCAGCTTTTGCAACCCGCAGAAATCTTCGATTGGAGCAGGAGGGATGGGGTACCGAGTTGCCGTTTCGAGTTGGGATGTGTTTTCCAAGTTTCTGAAAGACAGACTTGACTGCCCCGTAGCCAAAACCTGTCACCTGGTATTTCCGCACAAATTCAACAGTTGTGCAAGGTTCGGCTACCATCGAACGTTTTCAAAGTGTAGGGTCGCGGAGGTTTCAAAGCTTTTCCCTAGACACCAGCGCCCTCGCGCGATATGGCTCCTGCACGACGTGACTCCCGCGAGGTTTACAGGCATATTATCCGAAAGAAATCTTCCCCTCGACGTTTCATGGACACACTATCATCGGTAGGTGCTGTGGAGGACCATGTAAGTCTTTTGGAACAACAAATCAACACAAGGGACCTAGCTTCGACTTACCGGCTGAACTCGCTTGGCCTTTCCGTGATGGTGTTGCTGCTGCTGCTGCTGCTGCCGTTTCGAGGATTTAGAATAACCGAAAAAGATACAGTGAGCCGCAATGCAGTACAACACAGCTTAAACCGTGCTTGCAGAGAAGGAACTCTCTGAACACAGCAGTTGTGGACAAGCCCTGGGCTGGTGTCGAATGATGAAATCAAGATCGTCCGCGGCAAGCTCAACTCGATAAATTCACCAGTGAACTGTCAGGGCAATGTGGCCTGGCAGCATGAGTTCCACATTTGCATGAAGATGCACTGAGGAGGTATACGGGTAGTTCTCCAAACTAGGGTCCCTCTTGGGGTTCTTTTTATAAGGGTGCCATACTATTTTGGGACCTAAAAAAGGACCCGAATTTAGGGAACCACCGACATGTGCTCTCAATCTGCTGTTGCCGCTATGTTTAAGCGAGGACTTAGGCTTGTTGCAAACCTTCCTCGGCTCACAGAACGTCTTAGCCATTGCAAGTACTTATCCAGCTCGATGTGTCGTGTGGGAAGATGCTGCGCAGAGTGGTCTTGCAACAACCTGAACGACATCTAAGTCATCCCAGTAAGAACTACGTAAGCAGAACTTATGCAATCAAACGCTTTGATGCCCATGACACTGCAAAAGCATGGACCTACGGGGATCATTCAGGGCAGTCTTGACTCGATTGCAACAACTCTGTCTCTGAAGGAGTGCTTAGCCGTGAAGAAATTTTACTAGGTGAGGACGTCCTTCAGCGTGTCGTACGCCCAAAACTCACACTGGTTGCAGTGCATCCTGAAGAATGCCGAACTCCTGCCAAAAGCTCATAACACCTAAACCGAGAAACCTTGGACAACATCATAGGTATATTGGGCCGTCCTGATTAGAATCGGGTACTGAGGTGCATGATGGTTTAAACATGTGCGGACAGTATAGGGGCTGTCAAGGGTGTCACATCTAAATATGCGACAAACTTCTCAATTGCAACAGTCCGGGCGGCGATGCCCAAATCTAAGGCCCTGAAAACCAGGCATGCATGTCACGCCATGGCGGTCTCACCAAAATTATTGAATGTATAACCCCTGAGCCTGACACAATGCAGTTGAGTATCGAGCTCATGGTGAGCGTGGGAGTTCGACAAGTTCAAGCCTGAGCGCAGGATGACGCACGTCATTACAACTACGACGGCATGAATACTCTTCGTACCGCTACTAGCATCCACATCTTTTCGCGGGATGCTGTCGGCATTTAAGGAATTGCGCAGCTTGCGCAAAGAGCAGTGGAGGTTTCTGGGTGTTATATAGGGAGGGCTATTAGGGCTTTAGACTTAGACCGAACTGCCCCCGCCCGCAAAGGAGCCTTGTTGCATATGCAGGACCAAGCCCTGCTCGTCGTGGACCTGATGGGTCGTGCGCCAGCCGAGCTAGGCTGCAAGTACCAGGCATCAACAAAAACGCCAACATCCCTACATACTCAGCCCACACTGACAACGCAAGCCTGCAGCTGTCCTCCCACACCTTGGCCCTACTCGACTCCGCGATTGCGTGGTTGTGTGTGACTGGATGTGTGGGTATGTCTATGCTTAGAACTTCAAACTGTGCAAAATCAGCAGAACTTGACCTTGTGTTAGCTACGCTTCAATCTCCGATCCTCCAAGCGTTTTCGACTTTTTTTTGACCTGGGAGTTACAGCCCCAAATCGTGAAAAATGATACCGTAGGTCCTGAATCTAATCAGCACTTTAGGGTGTAAGGTTCTGATCCGCAAACTTGACATGCTGAAATCATGCGAAGGGGCGGTGCGAATGCCACGGCCGCCTGGAGCATCACGCAGAGCAACCAAGAACTGATAGTCCTTCAGCGATAGGTAGAAAGGGATGTGAAAGTATTCGTCAGTTGCCATGGTGAAATCTTGCGATTAAACCCAATCTATTCGCAGCCTAGAGTGAACTAACCTCACATCCCCACTATCCCAAACCGTGCGGAGACCCACAACCAGCAACAGGCACGGCAGTAGTGCGAAACGCAGACAATGCGTACATGTAACGGCCCGGCATGAGCATCACGGTCGCTAAGTCCGAAGGAAACCCTTCTCCCACCCGCGCTCCCAACTCGGCCGACGCTGCCCCCGTGGAGTGAAATGCGGCAACGGTTCTGCAAGTCTAGACGTGCTCGCGAGCTTAAAAACTGAAGATGTACTGTATGAGAAAAGTTAGCAAGCCAGGGACCCTAATACACACTGCAGATATGATCTTGAGCTGACCTTGCAGGATCCTAAACTCCATTGGGTTTTAGCGGCCAATACGACACAACTCGAACCTACGTCAAAGAAAATACAATCCGAAGTCCGACACGTTGGCGACAAGCGTGCTGTGGAGACGGGCAAAGCTACTGAACTCGCCCCAGACCTGCAAGTCTAACCGAGATAGAGCCAAGGGCCATTTAAGCGACATGGGCTAAATTTAGGCGATGCCGCATACCAGGTAGCTCCAATTATGGTTTCGTGCTTAGCCCATCTATTTTGTGTTCTTCGCCTGATCTCTTAAACACGACGTAAACCACAAACCGGAGGCCAAACCAGATCCGTCCTCTCCAAAGTGCTCATGCTGGAACGGTCGGCGCAGAGCCGCGGCGCGCCGGTAGACATAGGAGAACCCATAGCCCAAAATCCAACTTTCCTCCACAGTACGGTGCCAGGTTTAGGCAGCAGAAGCATTGAATTAGGCTTGGCTTGAGATTTGGGCGGGGCTTTGGCCGCTCCACATTCAGACACTCCGAAGGAGGTCGGCGGTTCTGCGTCTATGACCCTCTAATTTGGGACCCTTTGCTACTAAGGGCTCTTTATAGGAACCCCCCTAAATAGATACAGACCACACCCAAGCCATGACCTAGACCTAGCCCTTCCAACTTCCGAGCTGCCCTCCAAAAGCGATCTGCTTGTCGAAGGCACGGCTCTAAGCAGCCCATCTTGCGAGCTTTCTATGCGAGCACATGAAAGATCCTGAGAAGCACCCCCCTAACGAACCCTTAACTCTTGCCACCTTGTACGGTTTGAGCCCGAAGCCCTTCATAAACTCTGGAGGACCTAAGCCGTCAATCCTAGCCACACCCTAAACGCAGCGTGTTGCTATTGTGGGGGCTCCTGCGATCCGTCATCGGCGGGCACGGCGCGTGCCACCTCGAGATTCCTCCGAACCGAGGAATTCCCCCAAATCCCTGTAGATTCATGGCCGGGACAGAGGCCCCTTGATAGAATCTAACAGAGAGGCCTTCATGATAAGAGTCGGGATGTGGGATATACTATACTATAACATAAAAAGAAACCCCAAGGCCCTAAGGAGCTCCATTCTAATCAGAAAGCCCCTACAGTCTTTGAGTCTTTGCGGAACCTCGGGCTGCTATCAACAACTGGCCTGCAGAAGCCGCACTAGACGATGATCAGCAACAAGAATGGACATCCACCAAGACACACTTAAACTTCGTGTTGGCCTTCGAAAACACTGTGGCAACCAAATTCGCGATGGACGTGTGAACAACACCAGTCATACTGTGATATACTGTGGCACACTTCTCTATTTCAGGCTTGGTTTCATGGCTATCCCACAATGGATTGTACAAATTACAGGGCTGAATGAGGCACAACTGCGATCATGATTCCAGAGGCTTTCGTGGTCGGCTACGTGCTGGCCGAACTTTTCACATACGCTGCAAAACACGGCTTGTCAATCCGGCAGCTATATGACATGACCTGCTTTCAATACGTCACAGTAAGCTCCGGTAGCCGAAGGTCTGGTAGCTGAACGATTCGTCGGAGTCGTGTTTCTTGTTATCTCTCGTTATCTTTTTTTTCTCTCGCTCTCGCTCTCGCTCTCTCTCTCTCTCTCTCTCTCTCTCTCTCCCTCCTCTCGCTCCCTTACGACCGACCCTAAAGCACATTAAGCATTCCATTGCAGCAAGCTTCTTGAAATCGATGCCCATTGCTCTAGGGCAGGACTTGTGCGATAGGGGGTTCGATAGCACGGAAAGTCAGTAGTAAGACTGAAAAGCACCAGAAACAAAAGTGGAGAACAAACGACAGTAATTGTGGTCGTGGAGCAGCACAACAAACGATACTGTTACTGGTTTACAGTAAGAAACACAAGCCATTTAACTAGCACATCCAAATGATGAAAACAGCTCAAAAGAATCAGACTCGAGAACATTGAAGAATCAAGCGGACGAACATTGATACAAGCAAACCCAACAAGCTCTGGATGCAACCTATCGCTCGCAGGTTTTTATGAACAAGGTCAATCACAGACTTGCTGACATGCCGGGGCCCCCGAAAAGTAAATTCTGTCCATACCCTCCTGACGCCCAGAAGTGTACACAACAAGGAGGGTTTGGGGTGTAAGGTTGCCGATAAGCGCCACCACCCCCCCCTATGCCAGGTAACAAGGCCCGTGCAGGCATCGCCGACGAACCAGCTTGCCAGAGTCACAGCATCAGCACCTTTTTCAACTCCAGTTCTCCGATTTTCATGCCTCTTGGAACACTACGGACAGCACTACCTTCCCGTGGGTCCTGCTAGGATGTACAAATACTAGACCGCCTGTTGCACATACTCCGGCGTTTGCCTAGACAGCCGTTGCTGCCCGCAGAAGCAGACAGCAGTTCAAGCAAGCTGCTGTATATGGGATGTGCTCCGGATGGTAGGATTCGGTTTAAGTTTAGCGCACAGAGGGTTCCCACAGGTCATGCAATCTGACCATCAAATCATCGCCATGCTAGGTCGCCAAAAGCCTCTTGGGCTTGGGGACACTTGCATCTTAAAGAAGGCCAAACTCGGAGTGGCAGAAGACCTCCCATGGACTCGATCAACTCTGTCAGGTACTCCGGTGCATAGAAGTCCTCAAGGTAGGCTGCACTTCTTGCTACTACTCTTGGGGCTCGCATGATAGTATAGTACAGTTCGATTGCTCTGTCTGCTGCTGTTTTCAAACTTTTTGCTGCTACTACAAGTGTCCTGTCCGCTTGTGAGAAGCCTTGTTGATATTATCCTGCCCTCTCGGCACTGAGTACTCGGAAGCAAAGTTAACTCGGTTCAGTTTCAAGTGGAGGAACATCTGGTACTAGTAACACTATCTGTTGGTCTCCACGAAGAGCTGTAGCCCCAGCGTGGTAGAACGTCGTCTGAGGATGACTTGTGAGGTGTAATTCCGGGCCATGGAGCCGAGGGTATCCGTTTGTGATGTGCGGATCAGCACTGCGTCTCTGAAGTGCCGGAAAATTGGATTGGATCCCTGAACCCTACACCCTAAAACAATTCAGGTCCAGGGTCTGTGGGTCGTGAACTTCACCTGCCAAACACTACTAATAGCTCACCTAAAGTCCCACGCGCTCCAGGCACTCAACCTCGATACCTACTGATGACTCAGCTTTTTTGACGACGGCCAATAAAGACACACCGTTCTCACCCCGCGCCCAGCAGTTTGAGTTCGTAGGAATGCCGAATCGTGGCAGGCTTCGTGTTGCGGCTCTGTGCGCATGCTTGAAACCCAGAAGCCCAGACCATGATATTTCCGTGGCTAGTTGCATCATCGTCGAAGTGCGCGATGGTCGCGCCCGAGGCGCAAGCAATGGCAAGGTTCCGTTTCCTTGGCGCGATCAAAGGCCCAGGGGATTGCAAACAGAGGCGACGGATGTCTTAAAGGCGCCCAACCAGTCTTGATGGAAGGAAAGCAGTACTTGAGCTGCGGCTGGGGGCCCAAAGTATTGGATTCAGTCTTTTCTCGTCCCTGGCTGAATTCGGAGAGTTTCTACAGACAGTTTGCAGCTGGCCCTTGCTTACGCGAGCTCGTTCTTAGGCCCCCAATCATAGATCCTAAAGCCCTAAATCCTCCTCCATGCTTTGGGGTTTACAAGCTTAGGCTTCAGGTAGTTCTTGAAACCTTCCAACTGCCAACCCTCAAAGAGCGACGCAAAAGCCGCCGAAGACTGAGCATGTTGTTTCGAAGCCCTTTTGCCTGAATCAACGGGTGGACACCGATACTCTCAATCTAAGCTGACGGGCATTGCCGCATGTCCAGTTTTGACAAGTCTGAAAGCCCCATTGACATCAACGACTTTGTCAGGTCATGCTCAGTCCTACAGCCGTTGCCGTAGCGGCCAGGTGGGTATCTTTCATGCCTTTAGACAGGCTTCAATGGACGCCCAAAAAATCTCACTGTCAATCTCTACCTCTCGCACCCACCCGCACGCACACACATGCTCCTGCTGCTGCTCCTGCATTCTCTCTCTCTCTCTCTCTCTCGCTCTCTCTCTCTCTCTATCTCTATCTCTCTCTCTCTCTCTCTCTCTCGTACAGAACAAATCTCCCTCTCTCGTACAGAACAAAACTTCCCTTAAAAAAGACTGCACCTTCTCCCCGTCCATTGCTCTCTCTGACTGACTGTCGCTGTTTCTCTCTCTGTCCCTCTCCGTGCGTCGAGTGTATGTAATTATAGACATATATGCTCATTCGGATATTATGTGTCCAACTACATGTACATGCGTATGTTAATGTTTATATACAGATACACGCCAAGTACATTACTTACGGCCATTAGGCGGTGGAATTCGGGCTCATGGGTTGCCCAGATGCATTTTGCTCCCGAATGCAAGACTCTGCCATGGCTCAAACCCACGGGCCAGTCCCGACCCTCATCATGCAGGTGCCGGTATATCACCCGCGGATCCTCCGAGTGAGCAGAAATGTTGGTGGCCTACGTCTTCGCTAGAGGGCGCCGGGGCTTCGAGTCTTGGAACAGAGTTTCTAATAACCTCTGCTGGATGAAGATCGAGGTCTAATAAAAGTTGCAGGAAACCCTCGGGTTCAAGCGACCACAGACCTTGATAGTCGTCTTGGCAATCATGACAGTTGGTTCGTAATCGGACAAGATTCGGAACTGCATCCATACCGCAAAAGTGCTACGAAATAACAGCAGCCTCATCGCAGGAGCTCAAGGAACCTCAACAAGACGAGACCAGGGACTGACCTCTTGAATCCAAAGACTCGGTTGGAAGAACATCCTACGAAATCGACCCGCAGTCCCTAAAGCCTTCTAAAACCTTACAAGACCAAACCCGAAAATCCCATAAACCAATACCGTAACCACTTTTCCGCATCGAGGGCCTCCAGGGCCTTGGCCTTGAGGAAAGGCGAGGATCGAGGGCCGGTGTCGATCACGACGAGCTCCTCTCGAGGTTCAGGGTTCTAAGGGTTTAGGGTTTAGGGTTTTAGGGTTTAGGGTTTTAGGGTTGTAGGGTTTTAGGGTTTTAGGGTTCAGGGTCTCCTGTGGTTTGTAGGGCTTTCGGGACTCACACTCGGACAATCCAGGTGAGGCATGTGGTTCGAGGTCTGCCGACAGTGAAACAAAGGGAGCCTGCATCCATCATCCCGAATAAGTACAACCTGCTAGCGAGACTCATGGCCCCCTACACGCCCAAAACCCTCGCTTTGACAAAGCATAACTAGTTCGAGGACTACGAGCGACTGATCTACAAGCAAGAGCCCATGATGTTTATACAGGGTCAACAATGAGGTCCATAGACGTTCGAAAGCCTCAGGCGTGGGGCAGGTACCCGGGGTTAAGGCTCTTCTAAGAACTGTACGATGTCATAGTGAGACAAAATATAGATGCCTTCAAGCATAGATAATAACAAGCAAACAACCTAAAACCAAGATCTCCCTCACACAGTAGCCGAGGTACTAGCAAGCTAGGCACCCTAATTAAGGCGGGAGGGAACGTTTCCGTTCGGCCGGAGTGCACCCAAGGCCACTCACTCACTCACTCACTCACTCACTCACTCACTCCTCACTCAGACAGGATAACGAATTAGACACGACACTTCCATCGCAGTCTGGCGTAGATTAGGGCTTTAAGGCTTTGGGGTTTATGTCATGGTGTAAGCTTAGAGCTGTTGACACATGCACTTGGACATGTCCGTAATTACAGGGTCTGCAGACGATACAAGTGAGTCGGGACGTGAGAAGCCCCGTCGCACGCCCAACAACAGGTAAGCAACCAGTAGTGATTACCTCCATCTTCGAGGGCAGCCCCGCAAGCATATTCTGGGGAGTGCGGGATTCGGTGCAGGGCTTAGGGACGATTGCCGACCCCGGGAATCAGCCAGCACAAGTATATGTCAACAGAAAAATTGCAACCCTGAGATCCCCAAACCCTCGAAGGTCACTCTGGCCGCCTTAAGCCGCAAATCCTCCTCCTCTAAAGCCTGAATCATGCGATCGCAACCAACTTATCCGCCTTATAGGGCGTAGTCCTGCAGACAGATTTTACCCTGAACTCCCGAGTATGAACCGAAAGCCCTAACTCCTCAAGCCTGAACCCAAAGTCCTCAACCCTAAACCCTGTAAAACTCAAAAGGACCAGGGCCTTGTCCTTCCAAGTCTGCGCCACGAAGCAGTCATACCTTCAAAGTCTCAGTACCGACTGAATCAGGTTCCTTTAAAGGTTCCGAGGCCTCGGGAGTCTGTGAGGGTTGCCTTCTTTCTTTGAAGCAGGGATGCGGGATGCCTGCAGAAGGCCATGCTCCACATCAGCCAGCAACACGTAAATACAGCTTCCTACAAACATGCGGGTAATCCCATCATCCCCAGCCTGGCCGTGAGCTCTAACGTTTTTTCAAAATCCCACGCTCCAACCTGCAAAGCCTCCGTGGGGGCTCTTTGCCCAAAAGGTTTGCTGAGTTTGGGGATCCAGACCCTATACACCACTGGCGGGCCGGTATTTACGATGCGCCACCCGTGATTTGCCCCAACATATACTGTACGCATATCAAAACACCTGCATCCATACATCAAACAGCTTGGGTTGCGGGGGGGACCGGGACCTGGGATTACACATGCACACGTATCTATGTAAGAATGGCAACGCCAAGCTCCATGATTTGTTTATTGCCATTTGTAGCCTTTGATTCTGATTACGGTTGTGACAATGATTACGACTATGGCTGCCATGATGACGACTATCATTAGGATGGACATTGTTAGGTTGTTTTTAATTACAATATGCAGTAGAAGCCCAAAAACTGGAAACCCAATAGCACCAATCCTTAAGTGTAGCGTGTAGTGAATCCCAGCACCAATTGTCCTTAATCCGATTTCCAACCTTTTGGGTTTACTACATGCATGTAAGTATGTGTGTAGATATATACATCGATATTTTGCGAGAGAGAAAGAGAGAGAAAGCAAGAGATAGAGATAGAACGAGCAAGAGAGAGGGAGAGAAAAAGAGAGAGAGAGAGACAGACAGAGAGCAGAATACACTATAGATAGCGCGTGTAATACTTACACGCATGTATACATATGTATGCATCTATGCAAGAGCGAAAGAGAGACAGAAAACAACACGAAACCAAACAACACATGAGCGAGAGCGAGAGAGCGAGGCAGACAAACAGAATGATCGTGGAAGAACGGCTGACTCTTCTTTCAAACTTTGGTTTTTGACTCTTCTTTCCGGCTCTCTGAGGCTCGTCTTGCCCGAACCCGTCTCAAGTAGAATAATATTTCTAAAGGTTCTTAATCTGGTATTGAGGCAAGGTAGGTGGATGCTGTTACGCCGGGTGTCTGTAAGCTTTAGAATGTAGTAGGTCGCTGTAAGCTTGTATGGGCTTTTAGCACAGGGTCCTGCATTAAACAAAAATCCAATGAGCTACACCAGAGTCTTACATCAGGAGTAATCATAAGGGGACATTCGTAATCATTATTATTCCAGCATTCGGCCTTGGCCTTCAAGTATCACTCAAACTGCCCTTCTTAAGGTGCAGGCTGCTCTGCCCTCGCCTCTAGCCAAGCACTGGCAGTGCGTTGGCAGTCCTCGGCACCCTCCTTCCCTGGATGAGTAGCTCGCAGAGCTGTGGCTACAGTTGCAACGACCATTCTTGGCAAAAAGTGCCCGGCGTGAGGCGTAATGCGTTCTTTGCGCCAAACTTACACCTCCATCAACATAACTGCATTCAAGCCAAACCCATCACGGACAAGAGAGAAAACTGTATTGTTGATCCCATCCAAGGCCCTGCTCCTAAACCTACATTGCCAATGTAGACCCTTGCTTTGCTAATCATGACACCCTTACCTTGCTTATGATGATAATGGGTCCTTGAATTTAGAGTTATCATTCAATGGTCTACATTACTCTGAGTCCATCTCGCCGGCTACTGCCTTCGTCCCAATTTGAGACTGTTGTAATCTGCAATGCAACAACCAAGCAGGGCTGCTATCGCGAACTGGCCTTAACTTTTTATTCACATCCGTGTGCGCATGTTGTGCTGGGACAATTTCAGGTCACGGGCTATACCACTCATTCTTGCCTGAATTCTAGAAGGTTGCACTCAAGACTACCCCTAAACGCATGACGATTAACTCCAAATCCGTACTTCCAGAATCTGCTCAGAGGTGCAACTGCGGGTGGAATAAGATTCGCTCGTCCGTGGTGGGGCAGATGATGCTGACACGATGCCTTCTTCAGGGTTGATACCTAGTGGATGGGTTCCTACTGATGCTACGAGTGAAGTACTGTTTCGGAAAGCTTTCTAGTTCAGGAATGCGACAACAAGTCTTAGTTTCGAGAATTCCACCTAAAGGCAGGCATGAACAATTGAAGCAGGGACTGTGAATTTTTTCTATGCAAAGCCTATGAACGTATTTTGTGCTATATCCCGAGCTATCTTAAAATCAGAACCTCAGTCATTCATTAGTGGCAGTAGTAGTCGTAATAGTAGTAATAGTAGTAGTAGTAGTAGTAGTAGTAGGTGTAGGTAGTAGGTAGTAGTTAGTAGGTAGTAGGTAGTAGGTAGTAGGTAGTAGGTAGTAGGTAGTAAGTAGTAGGTAGTAAGTAGTAAGTAGTAAGTAGTAAGTAGTAGTAAGAAGAAGAAGTAGTAGTAGTAGTACTAGTAGTACTCGTCGTAGTCGCAGTCGTAATAGCCGTAGTAGCAGTAGTGGTGGTGGTAGTAGTAGTAGGAGGTGGTGGCAGTAGTGGTAGTAGTGGTGGTGGCAGCAGCA